CAGCGAATGGGCGCCCCTCATCCTACGGAACCCAGCGGCTTGGAAACGCAGCATCAAGACAGCGTTGCACGCTACAGCCCAGTATCATGCTCGAAATGTTGCGGCGGCCACAGTGGGGGCAATTGTCTTTTCAGGTCGTCCGCCCCCTGGGCGCGCCAGAACCTTTTTAGACAAATATTAATGGCATTCTTGTAGGCCAACCTACATGTGCAGCAGATGATGCAGTCGATGACAGCGTGAAGTGTCCATGGTGTGCGCGCGCTTTCCGGATGCGCGGAGAATTGCGCGCGCGTGTGGCGCGTGCCCGCCGTCAGAGCGCAGCTCTGGCACGTGCATGGGCGTCGCCAGGCGGACATGGTCATGCATGCCTATATGTATGTCATGCTCGGGTTCACTTAGTAGACCACCTAGCGCATGATTCCCCGCGGCGTTTATGGATACGGATGAGTGATCCAACCGCCGCAACTGCTGCACCGAATGTTACAACATCAGGTGCCGCGCCGTGTTACCATATCACACGCCCCGATTTCTCAGCCCCCATGACCGGGAGGATCCCAGGTGCACCGTTGTCTCGCCGTCATGCTGTTGCGCCGACAGTTCGTGCAGCTGGCCCCATCACAGAGCATGCGAATTCAGTGATGGCTACGATGGACCATGGCACTGCGCCCTTGGAGATTGCGGCCGCTGACCCCGCTCTCCCACATGGGCTTGCTGCGCGCCTGCACGCGCCTGTGAATGCCGCTGTTCTGCCGCCGCCGCCAACCAGCCCTGCTCAGTATACCGCTGAGAGATACCCCAGTCGACTATCCCTGACAGATCGGCACACTGGCATTGCAGCCGAGCCCATGCCGAGAGCCGTCAGACGAGTTGAATATGTTGTCCTAAATTTGTTTTGTGGGCGGAGAAGGGCAGGGGATGTGCAGGCACAGATCGGCTGGGAACTGCAGCTCGAACTATGCGATATTTGTCCTGTCTGTAGATATAGCCATACATGCAGTCGATGGGGCGCACGAATCGGGACACACTTGCAGACTGGAGGTCTCGCATCATTGCACGACGGGTGGTGGTGTCGGGTGGCGGGCCGCCGTGTGAGACCTGGTCTGCCTCTCGATGGGCAGAAGGCCAAGGCCCTCCACCACCTCGCACGCATGACCAGTTTTGGGGTAAGACGGCAGTTGCTGAACGACAGATGGAACAGCTGTGGGTGGGCAATGCGCTACACCATGCTATGCTGGAGCTGTTCGCTGCACGTATGCAGGCTAGGACGTCATGTTGGCTTGAGAACCCCCAGCCGCGTGAATGGAGGCTCCAAGCTGTCAGCTCATTTACCTGTCGTCCGATGCGTGCTCGCCAGTCGTCCTCAGCAGTCTCGACGACCGATTTTGATTAGTGTGAACATGGTCAGACGTCAAGGGCACCCACTCGGATCGTTGCGCTTAGACCGCCAGGGCTGCACGCAACCCTGCTTGCGACCCCTGAAAATGGCAGATGCTCGCACGGTTGGGGCGGACACGAAACGCTTCTTGGGTATGGTAGGGATAGGAAGGAGTGGCGCACAACCAAAAAAAGTACGTATCCCGCCGGCCTGTGCAAGTGTATCGCTGCAGCCACCGTTGATGCAGTGCGTGCCATGTGGGAAGGGGATGCGGACAGTACTGTGCCCGTTGTTCCGGATGACGTGGGGGGGGACGGTAGTGTACGTGATGAGCTACTTTGTCTCCTGGGATCCCTTTTCTGGCACGGACGAGGGATGGGCTCCTGACTTTGTCTCACGGCGCACACGCCGTGTCCGACACGACCCCGAGCTCGATCGCTCTCGACCGCCGCATGTTCCCCCGACATCAGAGCAAGTTACCTCTTCCACCTCACAGGTTCGAGATGACACGGCGGAGGTTTAACCTAGAGGCCCACCTGAGGCTGACGAAGAGCAGGAGTATGTAGACGCACGTGCGTTTCTTGGTGATTCGCAGAGGGCAACAGATCCTCCCCGCCCGCCCATCCCTGTGCCGTTCGCACCTGAAGTTTTGGAACGCATTGCGCAAAATCGCGCGCAGGCACGTGTCAGGAGAGCTGCTAAACTCCAGGAAACGAAACAGGCTCGTTTGCGTGAAGTAGCCCCTTGGAACCTTGATTCTAATTTTGGCATAGGCTTGTTCGGATAGGTTGCTGCCTGTCATTGGTCATGATTTGAGCGGACAAGTGGAAGAGCAAAAGGGCAAGTGGCAGTCGTCTTCTGTACCGCCTCTCTCACCCACCTGTCTATAGATGACTCAGGACCATGCTGCTGCTGCCTTCGTTGGCCTCCATTGCGTTTTTGGTGCTTCTCTCTCCGTTTGATCTCCAGCTGCCGCCCCAGTTCGATAGGTGTCGGGCGCCGTGCCAGGTACGGCGGACCTCTCCCGGGGCGGGTAGCCACGCGCGCAGGCCCGCGCCCGCGTATCGGGCACACCAGGCCGTTTCACCTTCCCCACTTCCCTTCCTAGCGTTTCGGCTTACTATGGTCGGATCCGAGGGAGGGTTTAGGTTTGTTGGCGGGGACGAGGTTCGTACCACGGCGTTGGATCAGGCATGGGCCACAGGTCGAGCGCGAAATCGAACGCGAATCGTGCTCCCGCTGCAGCGCTGGCCTCAGTTCTGCGCTTCCGCTCGTTCCGAATCGTGTTCCCGCTGCAGCGCTGGCGCAATTATTCCCAGCGCCATGCCACAGCATAGTTTCCGGTCCTTCCAATCAGGCCCCCAAATCTAGAAAATGCACTCCCCGAAACAACCATCGAAAGTGATTACGCATTCGGTGTCGATTCGCTGGTTTGTTGGACCGTAGATGCCTCCCACACCACTTTGGGCGTCGCCACGCCATGCTATGTCAGGATACGCGTTGATATTCAACACCATGCTATGCCATGTAATGCTATGCTCCGCTACGACATCTGACTGTGCAAATAGAGAGGAGATCTACGCCATGCTAAGGGATGAAAAGGGAGGGTTAGGACGTCAGATATGGCGCGAGCGCACCTAGCTTGTCCTCCCTTCTCCCTCTCTCCCCCCTCTTTCCTCCCCCTTCTGCCTCCTCCTCCTCTTCCTCCTGCTGTTCCTCCTCAGATCCTCCTGTCTTCCATCCCTCCTCCTCTTCCATCCCTCCTCCATCCCTCCCCTCGCCCTCGCCTCTCTCCCTCTTAATCCGCCTCCTCAGCAATCGCTCCATCTGATACCTCCCCGCATATTTCTCGCGCGCGGATCTCAAACATTCACATACTGCTCTTGCTGCAGCGTTGAACACATTTCAGGATGGGTGATTTGCTCCCGCTGTTTCGACGGGTTCTCTCGCCCCAGCGACGTCCCACAAACCTGAATCCGATTCTCTCGTCGTCACCGCCCCCCTCCGTTTGCAATTACACGCTGTGAATACTACTCTCCTCTCTCCCCTGGTGGCGTCTGGAGACATGTCCGGCCCCCCTCCGCGTACGGGCTTTTTACACACATGCTTCCCGGGAGTCGGGTTTTCGCTAGGTTCTTCGTTCAAAATGTTGCTCTCGCCGAAGCGCTGGCCTCACGTCCGCGTTTCCGCTCGTTCCGAATCGTGCTCCCGCTGCAGCGCTGGCCTCAGTTCCGCGTTTCCGCTCGTTCCGAATCATGCTCCCGCTGCAGCCAGCGCCCAAAAATCTAAAACATGCTCCCCCCGAAACAACCATGGGAAAGGAGTACACATTCGGTGTCGATTAATTGATTCCTGGGGTCGCAGAACCCCCCGCCACTTTGGGGCGTCGCCACGCCGTGCTATGTCAGGATACGCGTCCTCATTTCGGCGCTTCCGCGCTTGGTTTTATTTCACAGTGCTGCTCTCGCCGAAGCGCTGGCCTCATTTTCGGGCTACCGTTCGTTCCGAATCGTGCTTCCGCTGGAGCGCTGGCCTCAGTTCCGCGCCTCCGCTCGTTCCGAATCGTGCTCCCGCTGCAGCGCTGGCGTGATTTTTTCGAGTGCCATGCCCCAGCATGGTTTTCGGTCCTTCCAAATAGGCCCCAAAATCTAAAACATGTCCCCCCTGGAACAACTACTATCGGCAGTGATTACACATTCGGTGTCGATTCGTTGATTTTTGGGGGTCGCAGAAGCCCCCCCCACTTTGGGGCGTCGCCACGCCATGCTATGTCATGATGCGCGTCCTCATTTCCGCGCTTCCGCGCTTTATTTCACAGTGCTGCTCTCGCCGAAGCGCTGGCCTCATTTTCGGGCTACCGTTTGTTCCGAATCGTGCTCCCGCTGGAGCGCTGGCCTCAGTTCCGCGCTTCCGCTCGTTCCGAATCGTGCTCCCGCTGCAGCCAGCGCTGGCGCAATTATTTCCAGCGCCATGCCACGGCATGGTTTTGCGTCCTTCCAAATCGGTCCCCCACACCACCTCGGGGCGGCTCAGGCCATGCTATGTCATGCTACGCGTTGATCTTCGCCACCATGCTATGCCATGCAATGCTATGCCATGCTACGGCGTCCGATTGTGCGAATAGAGAGGAGATCTACGCCATGGTAAGGGATGGGAGGGAGGTGTAGGACGTCAGATATGACGCGAGCGCACCTAGCTTGCCCCTCACCCCTCCGATTTCCCTGATCCTGCGGCTCCTCTTGCTCCTGCTCCTGCTGCTGCTGCTGCTGCTCCTCCTTCTCCTCTTCCTCCTCCAGCGCCGTATGGCTCCTTGAGAACCCATTAATCGCTCCCGCCTGAGATCCGACGTTGCAAAAACAACACGCGACATCTCAAAACCTCACGGCCAGAGCCCCGGACCCCATCGTTCCGCGTCCACTTCCCGAGCCAAATCGACCTGTGAGGGTGCCCCGGGCCCGAGGTAGACCGCCCTTGCGAAACGAAGAGCTGCAACCACGGCATCTCGGGGCCTTGGGTTCACGCTGGTCCTCCTCCTCCTCCTCCTCCTCCTCCTCCTCCTCTCCTCCCAGTCGCTCACTGCCTGTCGCACTCCGCCCTCGAACCCCGACCCCGCCCCCGCGCTCGCCTTCCTCATCCTGCCCAACTTCCGGCGCAGCCGCTGCTCCCCCGTGCACGGCTTCGCGGCGCCGCCCCCGTCGCAGGCCAGCTTCGCCCCCGTCAGCGACTCGAAGCGCTCCCGGCAGGGCCTCCGCCCCGCCCTCGAGAGGGAGGGAGGGAGGGAGGGGAAGGTGGCGGTGGTGCAGCGGTGGAATGACGGTCAGCGTGTGGGGGGAGGAGGGAGGGAGGGAGGGGAGGAGGAGGGAGGAGGGAGGGGGGAGGGAGGAGGAAGGGCAGGAGGAGGGAAGGAGGACGAGGACGGGGAGGAGGGGAGGAAGAGCAGGAGGAGGGGGTCTCAGACGCTGTTTCTCCCCAACTCTTCAATGTTGGGATCTGGAACAACGCACTGCTCGCTCCAACGAACTTATTTTCCTTCTCCTCCCTTTGAGCTTCAACCTCTTCCAGCATCCTGCTTCATTCCCAACAGAGAACTGTTCAGAACAGCAGTGCTCGCGTGTCTCCTTCCTCCCGCCTCCCCCTTCCTCCTGCCTCCTAATTCACAACCCTCGGCCCTCCTGCTTTGGGGTCTTGTCTTGAATGGAGCATCGCTTTCTCCAGTTTCACTTGCTCCCCTCCTCCTGTTCCTCCTCCTCTCATTTCCCTTACACAGAACTCCTCTCTGCAATGCCCCCAAACGTCGGTAGGGCGGGCCGGGCGTTCCGCCTGAGACTTCCGCACCGCTGATGATCCTGAAGCTAGACATGTGCAACAGCTTCGAAGATGGAGATCAGGCCGTTTTCTTCAAACTGTGGCGTGGCCCTCGCCAGAGCGCCGCGCACGTTCGTTTTAACAGTTTTGCAATAGCTTCTGGAATAAAGAGGGGGCCGTGTTCAACATGTGGCTCTCACCTTAGCGCCGCCGCATTCTTTTTTCAAGAATTGGTGGCTGCACTTTTTCTCCACACGCTTTAATGCCGCGCACATTGTCGTATAATGTTATAACAAGTTGAAGGGTTCGTATGGTTGAACCCCGAGAAATGGTGTCCCGGAAATATTTCAAAGTGTCTTGACGCAAGGGTCACGTTGACTCGCGATGTTGAAATCACCCAAACGGAGTTATGGCACGATTTAAGCTTCCCAGGGCGAAAAAGTCACGTTGAGTCGCGGCGTTGAAATCCAACGAATGGCGTTTTGGTGCGATTGGAGACTTCAAACGGTTGTCTGCCAATGGGGCACTGCCGGCAATTCATATAAGTTTGGTTCTATGTTTCGGCAGTGACCCACTTAAAACAGTAAATTTGACGGCGGGCCTATTGCAACATCGTTGATGCGTCATGGATTTGCACTGGTCGTCATCGCCACCTTTTCTCTATTCGGAGGCTGCCACTTGTCGCCTGTCGCCAACTGCGCGGGCCCCGCGGAGGTGGATCGGAGTGACGTCCTACGGGGCTTCCAACGAGACGTCGCCCTCCTCGCGAGGCTGCGAATGGCGCAAGCTGGCACCACGTTCGTGGGCACCTGGGAGGCCCAACGCATACGGAACTCCAAGCGCGACCTCGCGCGCCCCCGCGGGGCTACGAAGTGCGCAACAGGGCGCCGTTTGCTTCGGCGTCCGGGAGGTCCACTGCACTAGCGTACTAGCGAGGATCCAAACGGAACCTCGCGGTTTTCGCGGGCTCCTGGGAGGTCCAGCGCAGTGGTGCCGCCCTGCCCGTGGGGATGCGAGATCGGACACCGTCGCCACGTTCGTGGGCTCCTGGGAGGTCCAGCACCATGATGTCACAACGGGGCCCGATGAGACCTCGGATCTCCCGGGGGGATGCGGACTTGGCAGCTGTCGCCACTTTCGTGGTTTCCTGGGACGGCTAGCGGAATGACTTCATACCAAGACCCAAACGAGACTTCGCCCGCCCCGCGGGGCTGCAACCTGCGCAACCGTCGCCATTTTCGGGGGCTCATGGGAGGTCCAGCGCAGGGACGCCTGCACCACTGGCGCCACTTTCGTGGGCTCTTGGGCGGCCTGGCGGAGTGGAGGGACACGCAGAACTAGTCGAGACCTCGCGGCTCCCTGGGAGGGCTGCCAACTGCGCAATTGTTGCCACTGTCGTGGGCTCCTGGTAAACCCAACGGAATGAGGGGACACACGGATCCAGTCGAAACCCCCTTGGCGAAACGATTGCTGATACTGCATAATCCTCACTGCGTTCTTTCGCATTGAACGGTCATCGGAATACTTGCCTTTATGTTTAGGAGGCATGGGGTATGTCTCGGGTAAATGACAATCCGTGCCTTTGGGGGCCTCTGGAACCTCTGGAGACGTCTGGAGGCATCCGGGGGCCTGCGGGTGCAGGAGGTCTTGGGAAGGAGGGAGGGAGGAAGGAGGAGGAGGAACAGAAAAACGAAAAGGTCGTAGACACCTTTGGACGTTTATGTTTTTTTGGGCCCCCTGGGTGGATTTCGGGAGACCTCCCGTGGTGCTGCTGCTGCTGCTGCTGCTGATGACAATGATGATGATAATGGTGATGGCGGTGGTGATGATGGTGATGCTGGTGATGACGATGGTGATGCAGATGATGGTCATGACGATGGTGCTTACGGTCCGTCGCAGAGCGTCAGCAAGTCTCGGATTACCTAGCAGAGGTCCATGCTCTGGGTGTGTTGGCGCAGGGGGGCTGCATGCCATGATCTGTATCATGCCAACTTCACACAGAAAAGGCTTGGAAGGATCGGTGATTCTCGCATCCTGCGCTGCCGTCCTCCTGGACCGAAGACTGCGAAGTGCCACCGAGCTCATCGAGCGTCCGTGTAGAGTACTCCTCATCGGGCTCGGCGCAGATCTCTTCGTGGGCAACAGGGCCGTTGGTGGTGCAGGGAGCGCAGGAGACCCCATTCATGTGCGTCTCGTTCTCGGCACGGGCCTGCTGCACGTCCAGATGGAGGCACTTGCCAAGCTGCCCGTGGAGTTTGCTGGAATACTGTAGGCGCCCCGCATCTCGGCAGTCTTCACGGACGGCTCCGGACTGTGCATGACGAGGTCTTTCCTGATCAAACGCGTGAGTCGATTTTGCTGCGGGGTCTGGCAGCAGGTGTTCTGCGGCAGAGGTTCGGAATGCACCACGCCCTTCGTAATGTGGAATCACTCGGACATGAACTCATCGCAGGAGTCCGTGAAGAAGACGCTCCACTCGTAGAGCTGGATGTGGTGACGCATCTTTGCGGACCCGAAGGGGGCCCGAAGGGGTACGAAGAGCATCGCGTGGATCTCGAGCGGCCGCTTCGTGGCCAGGTTGTTCTGCCCGTCGTCATACAGGGACGTATAGAAGGCGGCAGATTCCTCCTTTGTGACGTCTTCGGGCTTGCGCATCCAAATCGGCGCGTTCTGGTTGAGCTGGTCCCTCACGTGCGACAGGCCAGGCGGACGGCCCACGGAGGCGCCATGACGGACATGGCGGCGGCGAACTCGTTGCCGGTGCGCCTGAGCGTGCAAGCGCCTCGCCCCAGACGGGGGAGCGTCACTGCGCGTCGGGCTCCGCGCCAGCTCCATTGGAAGCCTCCTGACCACACCGACAGGCGCGCTGTGCCCGCACACTGGAGCTCAGCCTGAAGCATGGGCTCGCGGTGGGGCGCCATGAGCTCTCGGCGCTGCCTTGGGCGGAGAGTATTTCCGAGGAGACCGCTGAGTCTCCGAAGGCATGCGCTCGCGGCGGCCTTGTGATGATGATTGGTGGTGGTGATGGGGACGACGACGACCACGACCACGACGACGACGATGATGCTGATGCTGATGCTGATGCTGATGCTGATGCTGCTGATGATGCTGATGATGATGATGACGACGATGACGATGACGATGACGACGACAATAACGATGACGATGATGACGACGACGATGATGATAATGATGGTGATGATGCTGATGATGATGACGACGATGACGATGACGATGACAATGACGATGACGGCGATGATGATGATGATGATGATGATGATGATGATGATGATGATGATGATGATGATGAAACTGATGATGATGATGATGATGATGATGACGATGACGATGACGATGATGATGATGATGATGATGATGATGATGCTGATGATGATGATGATGATGATGATGGTGATGATGGGGTGGAGGAGAAGGATTGAAATTGACGTCAACTGCCCTTCTTGGGCGCCTCCTGCAAGGTCCGCCCTCACCACGGCTGGATCCGACTGGAACTCCTGACCAGAATGCGCTTCATGACAGGCAGGGGGGTGGTTTTCAAGGGGAGGATGCAGGAGATGAGGAATGAAAGGGGAGACGAGGACAGGGGAGAGGGGAGGAGTATATGAGGGCTCCTCTCCTCGCCGCTCACTTCCCCTCCATCTCTTTCCTCCACCTCTCACTCTCTGTCACAAGAGGGAGGAGACCGAACATTAGGGGGCGGAAGGACGAGGAGATGGGGAGGAATGCGATGGCGCCTCTGCTTTCCGCTCTCTTCGCCTCAATTCCTTTCCTCCACCTCTCACTTTCTCTCACACCTCTTCACCTCTTCTCCTTATTTCCTCAATTCCTTTCCTCTCCACCTCTTCTCCTCACTTCCTTTCTCTCCTCCCCTCCCATCTCTTCCCATTTGCTACAAGTCTCTCTCTCTCTCTCTTTCTCTCTCCCTATGTCTCGCACTCTTTCCCCTCAGCTCCTTTTATCCATACCCTTTCTGCGTATCTAATCCGACTCTGCACCCGAACCAATTGATGGGGGCCCCGTCCGTGACCCTCCATCCTACGCGTGAACAGTTTGACACGACATCTACGAGACTCGCCCCACCAAGGACATCACGTCGTCCCTGTTGCAAAACGTGCGGCGGGCGTGCAGTAACAGGGCGCGCCTCTCGCGCGAGAGATCTCGAAGTGTCGCTCCCGCCCCAGCGCCGCACTCGTTCCTCCAGGAGACGTTGAGCTCCCGCCGGGGCGCGGCGCGCACGCTCCTTCGCACGCCGCTTGTCTTCGACGCGCGGACGGTCGAACAAAAAAATGTCGACCTCGCCCCTGCGCCGCGCAGAACTTTCGCCTGAAAGTGGCGCGCCCGCCTCGATGCGGCGCACACCCTTCCCTCGCCAACTTCTGGGGGGGGAAGCCCGAGCGAGGGGGCGACTCGCAGCCCTCGCCCAAGAAGCTCCGTGAGCATTTCGCTCGGAAGTGGTGTCCCACGCGGGCGCGGCGCTTGGCTCGTTCGCCGAGTCGCGTGGAAGCGGCAGCGGCGGCGGGGCCGCGCGAGAGCGGGCGAAATGCCGGCCTCGCCCAATCGGCGCGCACTTGGTTTGTGAACGTGGCAGTGCTGTGTGAGCGCGGCGCATGCTTCGTCTTCGCCGAGCCCATTGGAATGTTTGCCACGCGCGGCACGCGTAGCTTTCCCTTCGCCAAGATGTCGGAAGCTGGGCTGCGCGCAAGGACCTTCCGTTTAAAAGGTGGGAGCTCTCTCTTTCTTTCTTTCTCCCTCCCCCTCACTCCACTCCTCTCCCTCCCTTCCAGAATCCTCTTCTGACCTGTTCTGCACATTCGCTCCCGCCTCGCCAACTTTGGACGCAACGCGAGCCAGGGGGATTTGAAGCCAGCCCAGCGGCAGGAGACCATAGCCACGTGTCCCTCTTTACCTCCTCCGACTCCCCCTGGCGCAGCTGGATGAGCTCCCCGCGCCCCGTCGGAATGTGCGGCTGCTGCTCTCAAAACTCAGCATACCTTGCGTGAGTGCGGGCGTAAATGGGCATGGTGCTGGTGTCGAACCTCAGCTGGCACAGCCACCCAATGGGTGAGCGACGCGGTTGCATTGAACAGAAGTGTATGTGCCCTCAAGCACCTTTAGACCGTCTGGTGGGGCGTGCACCCATCTGGTTGGATGGTAGGCGCACTCGGATCATGGCATGGCGCATCACGAAGGTTTGGACTTGCCCGTTTGCTCATCTGTGGGATGCGTGCGACACAGGGTCCGGAACTGCTCAGAGGAGCGCGCTGCCAGCAGAGCCCCTCCGGCCGAGCACTGCGAGCTCGGGCCGGATGATGGCCCACAGTTCTCGGCAGGGCCGAGGCGGTGCGAAAAAAATGGAAGTGCGGATTCGTGCCCAAGGCGCTGTCTATTCTCATCCCCCTCTCTCCCTCACTCCGTCCCTACCCACTGCCTCCCGTGCTTCTCGCCCGCGGTCGGGAATTTTTCTGCTTCTCGAGCTGCGACGGCGGCCCCGGCGACGCGCTACGCCCTGCGAGTGGATAGCGCGTCGCTCCAGTCCGTGGAGCGGGAGGTCGGGGAAGAACTCGCAACGCTGATGCCTGGGATTCGGTCGGGCCTGTCCTCCTACAGGCGTACTTGAGAAGAACATGATACATAGCAAGAATCAATAACATACTTTGTTCAGAAAAACAAGGAAATCATCCCCATAATTGTTTTGAAATATTTTTGGATGCTCTTCCTGTAGAGGGGCATGCCCGACCGAAGCACAGTGGCCCATGAGCCGACGAAGCGACACGCCGACCGAGAGATTCTTCCCGACCGCACGCCCCCTCTGCTCCCAACTGGGGAACTAAAAGATATACCGATGCCGCTGCCCTCGGGGGGAACGGAAGCGGGGGACAGCAAAGGGTAGGGTCAGGCCAGGCCTGTCCCCCCTACAGGGGGATTTCAGAAGAAAAATGAACAATTGTCCAGACTCGTCCCCAGACTATTTCTGGACTACTTGTCCCTATTCCACCTATAGGGGGACAGGCCCGACTTAAGGGGAGGGTAAAGAATCAGCTCACGTAGCTGATTTTCCCGGCGCCTCCCGGCGCCGGGAGGCGCCCGTGTATCGAGGAATGGGCCCAGCGGCGGGGCCGAAACCAGCTGCATGCAGTAGATTTCGCAACCCACTCTTGCCCCACCCCCCCCGATGCTCCTGGGACCTCTCCTGAGATGCGTTCTGAGCAGAGGTTCGAGGCGAATCCAGCGGTGGCGACAAGGGCCTCCCAGGAGGCCAGACAAAAGGCGACAGCGAGGGAAGGGCAGCGACATTGGCACCCCTTCCTCCGCTCCGAACCTCCTGGTCGAGCTCCAGATCGCGGCGCGGAAGAGGTACTGCTTCCGCGAGACCAGATGCCGGCTCTCCTGGGAGCCGTCGCACGGGCGCATCGCGTAGAGCACCGCGTGCACGGGGGGCGCGCCGGCGAGCGTGTCGAAGTCGAGCGGCGTCACCAGGGAGATGCCGACGAGCCGCCAATTGATCGCGTCCAGGAACCGCGTCGGACCCCACAGGGCGAACGTGTAAGTGGGGCCGACGCGGAAGCTTCGCCTGAGAGCCTCCACCTCCTGCCAGGCAGCGCCAAGAGGGGGCACCGCTGGGGCTCCGCCGCCCCGATCTGCAACATGCAACCCGTAGCGTGTTGACACGGAGCACAACACGTAGACCTAGAACTAGCTCGGGCGTGTCCCCCATACAGGCGGATCTTGGACGAAAAATTAGGCATACCCCAGACATGTCCAGAAGGAGTCAAAACTGGTCCGAATCATCCCCGGACTATGTTCCGACTATGTTTGGGTGTTCCTCGCGTAGGAGGGGCACGCCCGACTCAAACCCAGAGCGCAGGCCTGGCGCGGCACGTTCGCCAAGACGTGGGCCAACACGTCGAGCCATCACGCAGCGTGTTCGCGCGGACGCTGAGCATCGCCTAACCGATCCCCGTCCCCAGCGGCGTGGCCTGGGCCCCACTGGCCGCCTTGCCCCCCGAGATGGGGATATAGGCCGTTCCCTTCGGGTTTCGGGGGGTGTGTGTGTGTCCACAACTGGGGTGGCAATTTCGTGAGGGTCTCGAAGGGGATGGGGATGGGGATGGGGATCGGTTAAACGATACCGAAACGTTTTGCACACGGCACGTGCTGCGTTTCATCACGGGCATACCAGGGCAGCTGAGAGCGCTGGGGATGCCACGACCGCGCCGAGGAACTCGGCCCCCCCCTGGACCCCCCCAGCCCGGCCCAGGAGCCCCAAAGACTCCCAACACTGCCCCCCCCCCCCACACACCCACCCACACACACACACACACCCACACACCACACAGAAACACACACACACAGAAACACACACACACAGAAGCACACACAGAAACACACACACACACAGAAACACACACACACACAGAGAACACACACACACACACACACACACACACACACACACACACACACACACACACACACACACACACACACACACACACACACACACACACACACACACACACACACACACACACACACACACACACACACACACACACACACACACACACACACACACACACACACACACACACACACACACACACACACACACACACACACACACACACACACACACACACACACACACACACACACACACACACACACACAAACACAAACACACACACACATACACACACAAACACCACACACACACCACACACACATCCTCGAGCCTCGATCCTCTCCCTGCTCCTCCTCCTTCTCCTCCACCTCATCCCCCTCCTCCTCCTCCTCCTCCTCCTCCTTCCTCGTCCTCCTCGTCCTCCTCCTCCTCCTCCTCCTCCTCCTCCCTTCTCCTCCTCCTCCTCTCCTCTCCTCCCCTCCTCCTCCTCTCCTCCTCCTCCTCCTCCTCGTCCTCCTCCTCCTCCTCCGCCTCCTCCTCCGCCTCCTCCTCCGCCTCCTCCTCCGCCTCCTCCTCCGCCTCCGCCTCCGCCTCCGCCTCCTCCTCCTCCTCCTCCTCCTCCTCGACCCTCGATGTTTCCAGGAGGGGGCGGCGACCACCTCAAATGGTGGCTCCTCTTGGCACAGCCCGATCCTGGGCATACTCGCCGACGCGCTGGTGCCGCCGGTGGCCCATCCCGGGGAAGCGGACGTCCGTCAGGCTGGGAGGCTCGTCGCCCTCGGGCGTCTCCACGAACTGGTCGAAGGCCCACAGGGGCAGCACGCAGGTGGGCCTCTCGCACTCGCCCTGGGCGACGGCGGGGTCGTCTCCAAACGACTGATACACCGTGCCCGCGACCTTGCGAAGCGCCGCGACCGCAACACAAGCAACTCGCTTGGTGCCTTCGCTCATGGGCACGAAGCTCTCCAGCTCTATTCCGAAGAACATGTCATCTGTTGGCGGCGGCCGCTTGAAGCGAAGAGATACCCTCAACTCCCACATCCGCTTTTTGCCCTTAAAGTAGTCCCGGTAGTTCAGGCTACCCGACCCCTCGGAGCTGGCGCACGTCGGCGGATGGAAGACCATGTAGGTGCCCGTGCACAAGTCGTTCTCGAAGGTATAGGGCTCGCGTGGGTTGCTCCAGTGAAGGCCCGTGGGAGGGTCCATGGCCATCTCCAGGTGCGGGTGCTGAGGTATCCCCAGGTCGGGGTAGTCCTGCGTCGCTGCCGCCACAATTTGGCCACAGGCCCGCTCAGAATGGGGCCCCGAGCCACCGCTGGGGCCCATCCAGGCCATCTCTTCGGGCTACGCCCACGCCGCCGCCGTCGCCGTCGTCGTTGCCGTCGCCGTCGCCGCCGCCGCCGCCGCCGTCGTCGTCGCCGCCGCCGCCGCCGTCGCCACCGCCGTCGTCGCCGTCGCCGTCGCCGCCGTCGCCGCCGTCGCTGTCCTGCGCGGCGGTGCTGAGCGCGCCGGCCGCGGGCGAGCGGGCCGCTCCCTCGGAGAGCCGGGCCGGGCCCGAGAGAGCGCGCCAGGCCAGGACGAGGCAGGCGATCAAGCTGGTCGCCACGGCCAACCAGTGGCTGTCGCCTGCGTTGGGGGTCGCTTCATCGTGGGGCGATTGACAGGAAGGGGGGAGGAAGGTGCACTCTTCGGGCTCTAAGGCTCCCTTCTGGGCCCTAAAAGGGTCCTCAGAGGGTCCTCAAAGGCTCCTTTTCTGCAGCCCTCGCTGGCCCCCCAGTAGGAGGCGCGGGCCTCCAGTCCTTCGCAGCTCCTTTGTGCAAGAACCAGGGCACGCGTGCCACTTGTTATTATTGGTCGACCCTCCGGGGCGCATTGTGTTCTTCAGTTGAAGCGCCATTCTTGGGGCTCGAACCCGTTTTTTTCTGTCGGACAAACTTGGGTCTCACAGTTGGGCCGTGGCCCCGGAGTTACAATAAGAACGACACCCGCCTGAGACTTCCTCGCACATTATTCCCAGATCGTGTTCTCGCGCGGGACATCCTCACAGCGTATGCAGAAAAATCGTGCTCTCGCGTGGGACGTCCTCGCAATTCATTCAGACGCCGCGCCATCGATACTCAGGAATCACGCTCTCGCTTGGCTCTCGCTTGGGCCGATCTCATGATTCATGTGGGGATCGCGCTGTCGCTCGAGACTCGCGAGCCATGCAGGACGCACGCTTCAGCAACCCGCCTGCTCGACCTGGCCGCCTGGGCCCGCCCTCCCGACCCGCCTGTTAGGTCTCGCCCGCCCGACCTGCCCGCCTGGTTCTGCCACATGTTTTTCTGCTCCTGACACCCCTCCTGCTACTCTCTCTCTCTCTCTCTCGTGCTCCATCCGTCCTTTGTTCCTCCTTGCCCCTTCTCCTTGCCCCTTCCTCTTTCCTCCTTGCCCCTTCTTTCCATCCTTGCCCCGTTTCCTTGCCCCGTCCTCTTTCCTCCTTGCCCCTTCCCCTACTCTCTCTCTCTCTCTCTCTCTCTCGTGCTCCATTCTCCTCTTCCCTCCTTGCCCCTTCTTTCCATCCGTCCTTTGTTCCCCTGCCTCAGGGGCTGCACGAAATACACGTTGCAGGTAAGGCATATACATCTATATATATACCCCCAAGACGAAGAGGTCGGGCACCGAGAGCTTGAATTGTTGAATGGCACGCACGCAGATAAGAACGATCAAAACTAAAACTGCTTGTTGCTGTTGTTGTTGAATCATCACATCCTAAGAACCGTTACTGTTGGTCCACCCTCTACGGTAACCATTGTATGGTTCGATAAAAATGCTTCTCCCGAAGCTCGCACCCTGTTCTTTTACAAAGTAGATACCCCCAAGCGGGTATGATCGAAGACGGCGAAGGCGGGTATCGAGGGCTGGGGATATACGTGTGAAATGGCCTGCAGGCAGAAAACAACGAACAGTCTCAAACTGATTGGTGTTGTTGCGGTTACATTCTACGGAGTGAGCGGCTGCGGGTTTGCCCAGGAGCATCTTGCCAGGCTTGCTCGGCTAGCAGCGCTGCTGCAGATGATTCAGCTTCCTTGGATAATGCTCGGAGATTTCACCCTCACTCCGTCCAGCGGTCGCGGTGGCAAGCTCGGGGCGACAAATCTGCAGCCATCCGTTGAACATACCGTGTTGGATCCAACGTTCTGAGGCAAATCGTGGGAGCCTCCCATGCAGTCTTGTTTGACTCTTCAGCCGACGCTACATCGACGTTCCTCGACGCCAAATCGACGCTAGTCGACGTACATCGATGCTCATCGACACTAAATCGGCGCCACCTGATTGATTCTCAGATGCTGATCGACGCTAACCGTCGCTAAAGACGGAAATCAGAAGGTATACCAAGCTCCCATGATTTGCTACCGGGTAGGATCCACTGGGTCATCCCACATCGATTTGGCACTCACGTCTGAGCCTGCCGTTCCGTACATCTTAGGCTCAAAGGCCATCCAAGGCGTTCCTCATGGACACCCCATCGTGCGCGCGTTTTCCAACCCCAGGGGTCGGGGGCCCAGTGGAGCAACAGGTCCCTGCCTTTCTCTCGGCCTCAAGCTCAGGAGAGGCCTGGCCCCAACTCGTCTGAGGTTCCGACGGGGAAGGCGTTCCGGCGAGGCTCGGCTATACAGGAAGTCAGCGCGAACGCGTGCAGTCGTTGCTCGGCGATGTGATTCGCACTGCTGAGCCCGAGAATGGCTTGACCGTTGGGGCCAGGCCCAGGTCCCTTTCTAGTATGCGGGATCTCGAGGCCACGGAACTCTCGGAGCGGTGCCATGTCGGATTTCAGGACGATGAGGTGGACCGTTGGGACAGTGAGCCCAACTTCGGGGAGCCCTCATGTCCGCCTCCCTCGGCCTCGTCCTCCCTCGTCCCCCCGCATGGCGCGACCAGCCATTGTGGTCCTCTCGGTGGTCGGGGGGAGGACCCCCCCCAAGCGAGAGCCCCCCATAATCCGGAAACCACTCCCAACCCCTCCCCCTTCAACGGAACTTCCCCCGTTGGCCTGTTTGCTGTGGATACGCCTGCCTTTGCTCTCTCTCTCTCTCTCTCTCTCTCTCTATCTCTCTTTCTCGGCCACTGGCGTTTGTTTCGGAGCCTGGCTGGCTTTCACCGACACACTTCTACACGCGTCCGCGAACCCATTCATAACTCGATGGCCTACCCACATGGACGTGATGCATTCTCTCGGTGAGCGGCGCCTTCTCATCATGGACCACTGCAGCTGAGGTAGTGCACGCAGATTATGCTGGCTTGAATTCGGCGTCCGAAAATGCGGGCGTTTCACAGCTGGTGGCCAAGAATGTCCGACAGTCCGAGCACTACCGCGACATGCCGCCCCAGGATGCCATTGCCAATTTGTGTGGTGGAGGCTTCAGGCCATTTTGTTCATCGTTGCTCGAAATAGGCGACGCAGCAATGGAAGTGTCCACAGCCTGTCTTTGGTTTCCGCTGGTGCCAAACTGGAGTCAGCCTATCCAGATGGGGTTCAGCGGTGCGCAGGATTTACGTCTGGTGCCACATCCTGGGACACATGGCAAGAGATCCTCATGAGTTTGGGCGACAACGGCTTCCTTCAGATGGAGACATGTGCTGCTGAAGTTGCTCGCATCGCTGGCAGGACGCGGAGCAGAGCTAATTGCAAATCGTTGGATGATTTCAAAGCTTGGACTTATCTCAAGAGTGTTCGGGCGCCCTATTTCGTACGCCCAATGAGATGCCCTTGGCACCAGACGGTGTTGACACTGGAGAGCACGCCCTGTATCTCCTGTTAATGTGGTTGACCGTCGAGCTTCCAAGTGGCACGCTCTGTGGACTTCGGCGGCACTCAGTCCACGGGAGGATGAGATGGAGCCTCTCACGCACGAGGACATCACGAGGGCCCTTAGGGCCATGTAGGCGAACGCGGGGCAAGGTATCGATTGCGTTGCCCCGCTCGACCTCGAGCGCCTACTCGGCGAGGCGCTTGAGGAACTTGCAGTTTTCGCCGATATGCTTGAACAGTGTAAGACGTGGCCCTGGCAGCGCATGGCAATCCTGGGGTGTGTGATTCCAGCGAGGACGGCTGGGCGGCACATAGTGATCGGCTTGAGGTGTGTGGTGTGCAAAATCTGGTCTCTTGCCCAGGGGCCTTTCGTACGGCAGAGGCCCCTCTACGGGCAGCCGTCGTGGGGCGCTGCTGTCATATGCAACTCGCCGCGCAAAGACGCATTCACGCGTGTTATGGACGAGGGGCAGCACACTTAACTCAAGATGGCCAATGGACATGCGCTATTAGATGCGCAGAGCTTCTACGACACGATGGAGTGGAGCACGCTGGTCAAAGGTGCAATTGAATACCTGTGATGTTGGGCCTCGAACCTGAAGTTTGTACGAGTCACAAGATGCTTGACCAGGGTGACGCTGTTCCGCTATCCCCTTGCAAGCTGCACGGAGATCATACAAAGGTCGAACGCAAAAGGGAAACGTTTCGGCACTGGCGAGCCATGCCTCACTTCTCGAATCGTGGATCTGGTCATGGAGCGTCTCACGGTGACGCACCCAGCTCTCAGCGAATGCTTGTGGCAGATGAATCGTCTCAATGGGCAGTCGGACCAAGTGTGCATGTGCAGAGAGCTTCCGCCGAGGGCATCACGGCAACTGACCTTCTGGTTGGTGACAGCTTGTCGCTAGCCCACCAAAAAAACATTGTGTTTTGATCTAGAGCATGAAGGATGCGAGAGCGATCGTTGCGGCTCTCAAGAAGCGTGGCATTGCTATTCGGTGTTCTCAGCAGGTGGCGTATCTGGGGCGCGATCTTGGATGTGGACGTAGACGTGGATGTGGGGAGGATCACTTACACCAGGAAACCGCAGATGTCTCTTAAGAAGTGTGCTATCCCTTCGAAGAGATTACACCTTTGAAGACAGTTGATCTGGCGGGACCACAGGCAGCAGCCTGGTTTGGCCACCAGGTGCAGGGCCTGACAGCATCTACTTTGCAGCTCTTACGTCGACGTGTCGGCGCAGTCTCAGGGCATCGCCGCTGGAGGCGCTTGACTTCTCTTTTGGACTTGCGGGGCACTGGGCTGATCCAGGATACGCGATGCTACAACAGTGTCTCGAACAGTGGTTTCGTTGCTGGCTGGACTTGTTTCGCATGCGACAACCGATTTCAAAACTTTGGCATGCCACTCTGGAGCATTTCCAGAGCCTAGCACCGCAGCGTCGAGCTAGACACGTTCGTGGCCCACCCACCGCCATAGTACATTTTTTGTGTTTGCTCGATGGGGGGTCCCCACATCCACTTTGTGGTTACCTCCGCCTGACAGTCATGGCAGGCAGGAGTGGTGGTCTTTCCAAGATGCTATTTCGATTTCCTCGATCAATCTCAGAGATTGGCTGATTCTTTCTGCGCCACCATCCGTAAATTAAAGTGGCGGAAGGCGGCACAAGGTCTCTGTGGCAGCGGCAAGGAAGAAGGCATCGGCAACTTGAGTTTCACGAGGTATCCGCTTCAGCTCGGACAGATCCCGGAGGCAGGCAACTCTTGGAGCTCGTGGCTATAATTTCTGTTTGGGGGGGCCTGGCCCGCGGTCAGAAGCCCTGAGATCCGACATCGCACAGATACTACAACAATCGCAAAAACTCACAACCGGAGCCCCGGACCCCATCTGCCTGCGCCATGTGTCGGACCGCATCGATCTGTGAGGGTCTTGGAGCCTGACGTTGAGCGGACAACGCCTGGTGTGAAACATCTGCAGCGCCAGGGCTGGACCTAAACGGTGTTTTCGGCGACTTCTTGGGCCGTTTTCGTTTCGATTCCGTTTTGCGGTAAAGGCGAATCGAAGACAGAAGCGAGGGAAAACGAAAACAAAACGAAACCGAAAAACACCGATTGGGTTCAGCCCTGTGCAGCGCCAGGACCTCGAGGAAGGCGGAGCTCGGCCTCGGCGAGCCCCCCCGAGCACCAGGGGCGCAGGCAAGGCCGCCCGGGACGTGCCCTTTGCAACGCCGCTGCGCCGGCGGCTTCGACCCCCGAAGGCGCGGCGCACCGCGCCCTTACTCTCCGCCCCCTCCTCCTTTTTTCTTGGCCGAGCTCGGAGCGGTCCAGCCGCTGAAGCGTCAGTGTGCTCGGCAGTCGGCACCCCCGACTGCCGAGCGATGCAAGGGTACAGAGGCCTCGCCTTCCCCGTGGCCGACAGCACGCGCATGAAGCGCTGCAAGGAGCATGCACTCTCGGCGCCCGTCGAGCGTTGCCTTCCTGACCAAGGTACACCCACTACACCCCCGCCCTCATCCCAACCACGTGCTCGGGCGGGCGCACGAGACAGCACTGTAGCCGTCGATTTACGACCACAGCAGGAGCAAGGAAGAGATGAGGACGTCAAATTACATCAGGACGGGGTGGAGAAGGAAAAGGTGACTCGCCCCTGGTAGCACGCCGCCAGGACGACGAGTCACGGGCTCAAGAGCAGGAATTTGGGGGACGGGGAGGCTTGGGGTGGCGCTCGACGGTTTGTTTCGCCCGCCTTACCACTTGCGCCTCCCGTGCCCTCCCCGTCCCCTAAAGAAGAAGAACAGCACAGTCTCCCCCTTGGTCGGCCCCTCGATAGTTCAACTACTCCGCAGTAGCGCTGAGCACGAGTACGACCTTCGTACACGAGGGGCCGCCAAGGGGAGGACGCCTTCAAGTACTCCTCCTCCACCAACTCCACTCAACAAACTCATCCTCCAACTTATTGTCGCCCAAGGCGACTAGACAGGAGGTAGCCTCGCGAGGCTCCATTAGACCGCGCAGAGGGCTTAGGCCCCGTCGGAGTAGAACCTGGACAAGTCCGTGAGTTCAGGTGAGGCTCGCCCTAAGCCCTCTGCGCCAGTCTCTCAGCCTACAGGCTGGGCAAAGCACACAAATACTGATCATCCCGCCCCTACACACTCATTCCAAAGCAAACCTATAAGCTCCTGCGAAGACTCGCCGACAAGATCATAAAGAAACGGGCCCTTCTGAAAGCCCGCCCAATCAGAAGACCAACAGTCCGTGGAAGTTCAGCATATTGGCTATGTTGTCCATGGTATAAGTGGCAACAACGTTCGGGTCCATGATGACGCAGCTCTATCTCATAGTCGCAATGTGCATGAATAATTATCATCTCTCTAGCTTCTGTAGCGCCGAACATACAAGTATCAATCTCAGTATGGCCCACTCGGGCACCAATAGTCTCGAAGTCTGGCATGAAGTTCTTCATATTGTCGTACGCCTTGCGCTCCGTTAAGACCGCCACAGGAACGCCGGCCATAGTACCTGCTTGCAGTAGTCTCCACGCAGACCTCACCTGAGAATTGTCGCCAGCATAGTTCTGTCGGCGTTGGGGAGGCAATCGTCGGATACCCCAGGGTTCAGTCTGAGTACGCCCTTGGTCAGGTCCAACTCCGAACCACGTTTTCCCACTAAGATGGATTAGAATAGCACCTACATGACCTGACTGCATCCGAGTGACGATCGTCCTCATCTGCGCCTCATGTAGTCCAACAACCGTGCCATCCTCGTCCCGTTCAGTATACGTTTCAATGTCGAGGCCACATGCCTGATGAAGCGCTTCTGAGAATTCTACGTCGCACTCAGCTTGAAAAACATTAAGCAATACCATTGTGCTGGGGTCGCCAGTCTCAATACGTCGAATTGCATTAGGTACCTCACGTACTGGTAGCCATACTTCAGGGACTTTGACAGGAACCAGCCTGTCACCCTTGCCCCCAAGAAGATCTCCGTAGCGAGCCCGCTGTCTAGCCACCCTGTAGTTGAATCCTTGCTGAACTTGCTTCCGCTCACGTCGTAAATCCTCCTGCCGCAAAAGTTCAGCTTCATCAGTGGAAAGAAGGTCCCCATTGTCCAAGAGCCATGAAATACACCTGTTGCCTCGTCTGCGTAAGTGCCGTAGCAAGTTGGAGCGATCCCAAAAAGCTGTGCCACAGGCTCCACACTGCGTACCTCGTGCTACCAGCTGGGCTCCATCAATCGGCTGATGGTCCAAGAAGTGTTTGCGCCAGGCAGACTCCTTCGAGCACACCCATCCACAAGTATAGCACACAAATTTCTTCTCCAAGTCCGTGGTGACCGCCGGCGCCAGCTGAGCGTTAAGACTTCGTTCTGCAATTTGCATTTGAGCATTCTCAAGTTCTCTATACACGTGGTACTCCCATGCCGTCTTGACTTCATTCAAGAAACTCTTCGTGTTCAGCCTGGCGTACTGGAACCACTGCTGCACCGTCCAAGCTGAGCGAGCTCTGTCCTTGCTGTAACTATCAAGCCATTCCAAGTCATCACGAAGTAGTGAGACCCAGGATCCCCGTTCGCCAGCCAATTGGTCAAGGAGAAGCCATAGGACAACAGGAGCCTGCAAAAACATCTTCCCGAAATACATTAACCTCTTCTTACGAATAATATCTCTTAAATGCAGTCTCCTCGCAGCACCTAGGACTTGTTCGTCGTTGTAGAAGCTAGTAGTCTGGCGGTGATGCTGCAAACCTTGTGCCACGCGATATGTCGCGATTCGAGGTGTCTCCAACCGTTGCAAGAGTGACTCACTGAGTGCCGTCCATGTCTCGGCCAAGTAGGTAAGATGCACGTTGGCCAAGGTGTCAACAAGATTCGTTTTCGCTGGCCTCGTCATACCCCCAAATTTCGAAATCATCTTCTTAACAGGCATGGCCGCAATCTTCTGCTTCTGCACAAGGTGTGCTATCCGAGGGCCCATCTCGAGACGGCGGTTGATCATCGTCCCTAAGTACTTGTACTCCTTCACCACATGCACCTGAATATCCCAACGTGTAGGTATAATCAGAAGTTCGTCTTCGTTATCAAGTCGATCCCTCAAGTCGACAGGTACTTGCCTGCTAGGTATGATGAACATGGCTGACTTGGACTTTTTGTAGTTGACCAGAAAGCCGTGCGAGAGCATAGCCACATGGACTGCATCCGCAACTTCACCAGCAAGTTGTATGGGATCTTGCCATGACTCAACAGACTGCATAATTAAAGCATCATCAACAAAGGAAATATCTGTAAGGTGAGGGTCATCTTGTGATTCCGCAGGTGCAAAGCAGCCCTGAACTCCTTCCACCCGCAGAGGCAAGCTGGCACCTAGCGGGCGTAAAGCCTCGTCGATGCTCTTGAGAGGCTTGCAAAACGCTGCGTTAAAGATCGCGTCGGCCAGAGAGCTTCCTGGACGCGAGCTCCTACGCGACCTGGCAACAGTGCTTGGTGTGTTAGTGCCAAAGTGCGTGTCTCGATGTCCTTCGATCAGTAGGGCCAAAAGGTGAGGATGTGCTCCAAGACCATCCAAGGCTGCTGGTTGTGATAGGATAAAAGTCAGCAGGGGCAGCATCGCTATGGGCAAGTCATGATGATGTACAATGTACTCATCGTCTCCATCTGGGTCGCCAAGACGAGGTAGAACCATACTGCGCACCACCGAATAGAAGGCTTGCACCAAGTCAATAAAATATAGAATAACCGAGCGACCTTGGAACTGCGCCGCTTGAATAAACGAAGTTGCGATGTGAACCAGCAACGCAGGGCCTTTAGCAGGTCGACCTCCACACTGGGTGTCGCGAAGGAGTACGTCAAGATATCGTGTGAGTTGCTGCCGTAGAAATTTATGCCAACACTTACTCACTACTCCATTCAGCAGGATGGAACGATACGTCTGTAGTTGCTGCCCAGGTCCACCTGATTTAAGAAGAGGGAACACGGTGCCATGCTTCCAATCGAAAGGCTCCTGCTGGTACACGCTCGTCTTGAACATAATCGGCCCATAGTGCCGAGCAGCGGAGCGAGGGCAAAGACGCAGCAGATCGCCATGTATATCATCCTTTCCTGGAGCCTTGCGCCGCTTGACTCGTGAAAACATCCCTGCCACCAGCCCAACATGCGGTAAGCAAGCGGTGTCCAAATCTGTACCATCAATGGCATGATGCAGGCGCTCGTTGTATTTTATCCTCAAAGCGTTATCGTCCATTAACTCTGCGTCCTCAATGTTTGCGAAGTACTCCAATATCATCAAATCGGCCTCCTTATCCGTCGTTGCCACCTGCCCTGCCGAGTCCACCAGCATGGGATATCTGCTAGATTTACCCTGCCTGCCTCCATACTTGAGCAATATCTTAAGCAGTCGCCACTCCCCATGTGGTTCATTATTTGCAGCACACACATCCATCTGCCTCGAGAGGTCTTCCAAGAAGGCCGTGCGGTCAGCATCAACTGCTCGCCGAACTTTCTTGGCAGTATTAGCCAAGAATGTACGAAGATGCTCTTGAAATTCGTTAGCCGTGAAGCCGCCCTCTCGCATTTTTTGTCCATGACAACGAAGCTGACGAACGTCAGATTGCCAAGGCCGTTCCTGACGGGGTCGAAAAAGCGGGTCATCCAGATGATTGAGTAGTTCTCGCCAAGGTGGTCTGGCTTCAGTGTGCTCAGGAAGCCATCGACGTGCCCGCGCGACGTACCGACGTAGTCGGACTAATTCCATCGTAGACTCAGAAACATATCCTTTATAAGATGTCACTCTGTTGGTACCAAAACATGTTCTAGCAGCCCGCCTGACCAGCTGATTCGTCATTTCAAGATGGTCGTTTACATCGAGCTCCCACTCTGGCAGTACGGCGTTGTCCAAAATCGTGGTGAACTGTCTTATCTTGCTCTCGTCCTTGAGCTTAGACTGATCAAGATGTAACGCCGAACGCTGTTTGCCAACTGTGCGGACTCCGCTCGTCTTCAAATCCAAAATAACTGGATGATGGTCTTCTCCATCACTGTAGGTGTCGAATCCATAGTCAACCTGGCATTGAGTTACTGTGAAAGCCAAGTGTGAATCCAGAAGGATGTGGTCAAGACGGTGTCGGACTCCAGCAATAGAGGTATATGTGTGTCCCCCTTTATGCGGGTGCCAAGTAGAAGCAAGAGACAACTGGTGTACTTCTAGTACCTGACGCATAGCTTTTGCAGGTCCATCGTCGCAAGCAGGAACACAGTATTCTGGGTGAAATCTGCCAACTAGCTCCCGAGGACCGCTCGAGGATACCTCTGCCTGCCCGATCTTGGCATTCATATCTCCGAGTACGATAGAAGGAGGCCACCGCGACATCATCTCTTGTAAATTGGCCCACCATTCAGTGTACGAGATACTCTCGTGCCTCTCATGCGGGGCGTGCACCACGTAAACGAAAATGTCCAACTCGCTTGTAGTCAGCCTGACCACCAAA